ATTCCAAGCTTTTACTTGTTGTTAAACAAATGTTTAAACAACTCTATTTAAGTTTGTAAAGCTGTTTAAAATAATGATAATTTGTTTTACTTGTTCTTTCAGTCTATATCAGGCATTTTTGCTGCCTTAGGTGTCCAATTTGTTTACAAATGCTTCGGGTGGTTTGGATCTTTCTGTTTTATAGCTTTTTTAAGCTTTATAGGTAAGTAATTAAGCATAACTTATTATTTAAATATGCCTAAATCACCTCATCCAGGTGTTATTTATTTGATGGCTCAAAATAGCACAAAGCTTGAATTTTTGCTAATAAAATTTGGCAAAATACAACTGGCTGTATTATAGAATGTATTCTAATACAAATATTTAAATTTTTCCTATATTCTATAGCACTTTTATTAACCTTATTGTTTATTACTAGTATTGCTCTTGAATTTTTAGCTTTAAACTTAAGCATTAAAAACAAATGTCAGTGGAGATGCATATGAGCCTTATTATTATTATTTTTTCTTCAAAGTTTAATCTTTGGATGATATAACTTAATCTATTTCATCTTGTTCCACACTACTTAAACTATAATTAATACTATGTTGTACAAAAATAGTATTGAACAGTTAATTTGAGTTAATATTTTGTCATTGCAGACTAGTTAAAAAATGGTAGAACAGAATATTCTCACATTTTTGAATAAAATAGTTGTTTTTCTTCTTTCATTTACAGCATTAATCACAACGCTGTTATATTCAGAAACTGCTATGTTACCACCATGTTAGAGTGAAGGAATAGAATAAAAAGGAGGTATCAGTACTTAATGACTTGAAATATCGATACTGAAAAAAACAAATACATCAGCAATGACGGTCCAGTATATCTAAATAACATCTGACAGTGAAAAATCAAGAGATGTATGGCAAATGCATATAGTGATTAATATACTAACCCAAATTATTGACCCAGGATATATTTACTAAGTGTACATTACAGAGAATAAAAAACAATACATACGAACAAGCAATCAGCACTACAACATAGAATGAACCACTTATCTCTATATTAACCTGGATTGCGCTTTGTCTTGTGTCACTGTAATAACATCAAACGATAGTCATATTGTGGGTTCCTAAATTGTTGAGTGCAAGCAGGTTAAATGGAAAGGATATCCAAGTGATGGTTGAATGCTTGTACTAATTTGACTCTTTCAGTTTTGGTAATCTTAGGTTTTATGATATTTCACTCCAATTTAATTTTATTCACATATTAGAAAATACAGTATGTTATAATTATAAATAGGTAATATTTTTTTTTTGAATTACAATCAATATAATATATGAAAAGGAGATACAAGAAAATGTAAAAACGAGAGTGCTCATACATAAGGTATCCCCTTCACCAGAAAAAAAAATTATAATTTAAAAAACAACAGAAAATAAACATATGTAAATACATTAAAAGATATTACAGCATTTAATATATTTGATGATCCTAAATGACAATTATATCATAAGACCTTTATTATTTAATTAACTATGAAAATTAGAAGTTAATCATAAATTTAATTGATAGTTTTGAAACAAACCTTACATTTTTTTTAATTCTTTTCATTTCTCTTATATTATTAGGTATTGTATTCCAAATTTTTACTCCTATATGTAAGTTATTAGCCATCAACCTATCTACTTTTTAAAAAGTACCATGACAATTAATGTTTTTATTTTTTTTAAAAAGTTTGAAGACTTGGTGTATTAATTAATTTACTTTTTATCATAAACATAAAATTACATACTAAATAATTATTTCATAAATATTTAATATTGACACTTATGAAATAACTGATACACAGAATCCCAATAGTTTAAACTCGAAAATTAGTCTAATAAATCTTTTAGGAAAAGTAACGATGG